GAAGAAAGGATACCTGATGGAGGATGAGAACCTTCTTCTTAGTCTGGGCATTTTCTATGGATGTGACCGAAGTTGGACGATGAAAAGACACATGAGATTAGGACAAGGATGCACTCATCATCGTCATCAACCTTCTTTTTACTTGAACTCAGTCAGGACTTACAGCTCCTTGTGACAGTATCTTAATTATTAACATAGCACAAACTTTCACCTTGCTGCCATCATGAGTCAAAAATAAAACTAAATAACCACCATCTCACTTCGGTCAATTTCTTAAAATTCTTCATATTGCTCCAAAGTCATATCATAAATCCTGAAACTGGCAAAAACACAATGGCCGAAAATCAAGCGTATGATAACAAATCCTGAATCTTGACACAAAAAAATGAAGTCTCTCGGGAAAAACATGTCAAGTGGTTGTTTCTTTTACTCCTGTACTGGACTATTTTTTTAGTTTTGTGGTGGGAAACATGATTAAACCCAAATCATAAAGAAGTTTCATGAAATGAGGCATCATGCCAAGTCAGACTTCACACTCTTCCGAAACTATCTTTTGAGTCAACTATGACATGAGTGAACTAGCAGAGTAATAAGACTTGATTCTCATTTCTCTGGGCCTCAATGACTTGCCATCATACCAAATTTTCCCTCACTATAAACCAAGTCTCCCACAAAGTCCAGTCACGTCGGAAGAGGAATTGCCTCTGCTTGTTAAAAGACGATAATCATTCCCTGAATTTTCATGACTCTCGGGTAAGGAATCATAGGCCTAACAACGCTGACAAGATATGCGCTTTATGTAACTGTCAGCTTCTGAGAATATGAGCTAAATCCAAACATTAATAGCTTTTCAGGTGATGGATGTCTTTGAGAATCACATCCAGGAAAATACAGTTTGGCACACATGCACAATTTGCTCTGGAATTTCAAGGACTTCATTATTTCCTTCAGTCCTTTTCATAGACTCAAAGTGTCCTTGAACCCAAGTTCCATTGTTCAGGATAATCAAAATTTGATTCTTAACGGCTTTCTTTGCTCAGGACAGTCAAGCGGGAAGGGTTCAGGAGAAGGCCAGGAATAGCTCTGCTTCCACCGACAAGCTCCTCCTCTTAGGGAAGTCAGTTGCAACATCAGCTCTTAGTAATAACTGTGTATATTGTGAAAGAATGTGTTCAGTGATGGGGAATATGTGCCTGTAGGTAGGATTTCTGACACATTTAGTAATATTCTACCTCTCTTGATCAACTACGACAATGATGGGAATAATGACCAAGCACATTCAGATCAGAGACAGTAAGGGATTTTCCTCTTCTGTGCCTGTGCATTCTCTTATTCCTTTCATTCGTGTCACTTTGCACACCGACAGTCTCCTTTTGAATCTCACTAAGCTTTCTTCTGAGACCAATGACACACTTAAGCTAAATAGAGAAGAGAAAGAAATGAAGCACAAGATAAAAAAAAAATTCTTCTTGGTAAAAGGAGAACTAGGGTATCATTCCAGTACCAGAGCATAATTTACAAATGTATGAATTCATGTTTTCCTAGAAATGGTGATCTTAATTTACATAAATGGTATCTGTCAAAGTTAATGACTATCGAGGATAAACAAAACTCACTTGGAGTTCAGGGGTTGGCTCTGAGTTAATATTTGCTCTTGTTACAAAATGCTAAGTAGTAATGAAATACGGAAGAAGCCAGTGTCTAGCATATTAAGATTAAGCCGATAGGGTTCAAATACACAGATTATGAAGAAAGTAATGAACACAAAATTGTTGAAGGCTTGAACAATCAGGTGTTCAGCTATGGAAATATAGTAGTTTCAGGTCTCTTAACTCATTGTGTTTGAGATTTATTTCACAGAATTGATCTATACTTAAATCAGCTGGCTGCCTGAGATACAAATTTCTTCTCCGCTCATAGGAAACCTAAGCAGTGAATTACAAATTAAATAGTTAAGGATTTGAGCACCAGTATACAGGATAGGACGCTCGTAGGCAGCAAGGAGTGGTTACATTAAAGAACCAGATGGACTTTGAATCCATACCACGTCACTCAGAGCCCAAGCAGTGAATTATAAACAACAGGCAATACCAAACATCGCATGTGTCCAAGTCCAGAAGCCCATTCTCTCCCTCAGCCTGGCTAACACAGTCCCACTTCCAACTGTGTTTCTACAGCTACAATAGTCTCATCCCCCACCGCCCCCACCGAAAAAAGAGAAGGATGAAACCTAAGCACTAGGGAAAATACATTTTTTCTTTTTTTATTGTGAGTTCTAACATAACTTTTATTAAACATAGAGCACGTGAACACATGTCAGTTGCCTTCATTTGTTCTCACACGGAGCTGGTAGAGGAATGCTTGGGAGGAATGTTTCTAAAGCCACAGATAGCTTCTTCTCCATTTATTTTCTTTTTTAAAAAATATGACAAAGCATTAGAGGAAAAAAAAGTTCCTTAAGTTGTGAGAATATCAAATATTACCCATCAATCCCTGAATCATGCTATTCAAAGTGCTTAAATCTATACTAAAAATAGAACAAAAAATGTACTCCCAATGCAGCTAAATTAACACCTATGGATGCCTAAAATATGACTGTGGTCTGATTACTTCCTCTACACACTTCCATCGTGCACTTAAAAAAAATAAATTAAAAAAAAAAACAAAGAAATAAACCAGGCCATTGCCATGTTTACAGTTTTCTGAGCACTGGGGGAGTCTGGAATCTAGTCCAGTGAGGTTCGCTGCCACCAGTCCCTGACAGGTGTCCATAGTACAAAGTAAACAACGGCCTTCTTGGATTCTGAAAATAACCCAATGTGCAAAGCTGACAAAGTTTATGTGTCCTTGCAGCTTCAGTTCTGGCTTGTGAAAATGTGACACAGGTCCTGGGGGAGCATGGGAATAAAGAACAGATTGTAGAGAAGGACCCCGGGTGACTTGTCAGGGAAATAAACATTTTTTAAGCAAATAAAAATCACTGCACATCCCAAGGCTCCTTTACCTTGTCACACAAATACTGAGACCTTCGCATTGTTGCAAAGTTCTTATGCTCATCTCGGTACATTTGCAGTTCAATCTTACCCTCCCAATTGAACTCTTTTTGAAGTTTACACTTTTGCGTGTGTTTGGCCAACTCACACGTTTAGTATTGTGACCCAAACTGTAGAATTGTTTTCTCATTATATGGTGGTAGGAATAAACCGAACATACAATAGTCACGACACGAGCCCACAGGCGATGACTGGCATGGAAGTTCCTACAAGGAATCACTACAGGAATGTATAAGTTCTATATCAGTGTTTTCATCACATTGATTTCTTTTTAACTAAAAGCTACGTAGGTAATATTTCCCTTTAACAATTCCACCCTCTGCAAGTTCCTTGATGACTGATTTTGCATCGTCTTCAACATGAATATGTATTAGCTGCTTATGCCATTGATTTCAAACATAAAGCTAAATGGTAAGGGTTGAATTTCCTGGGAGCATCAGCTTTCTGTTTCTGAAAGATAGAATTACACAGTTAAAATAAAACGAATTATTTATACAGTAAAATTATTTTAAACACTTTCTCATCTAATTTAAAAACTATTTTGTGTAAATAATATTTATTTTGAAAATAGTGATTTCTGTTGGTACTCATATGTTTGACCTCCTGAGTTCTTATATAAACACTTTGATATTACTAAGTGTTGCTTATGTTCACAAACTGAAACCAAACACTTGATTCTGAATGTAGCATTGAAAATTAAATACAGTGAATTAACATTTAAATACAAGGGGATCCCATAGTAAGTTTCACAGATTTGTTCTGACTCTTTAGAAAATAACATTTCATATAATACAAGGTGACAAAACATATTTGATGACACATCCTGTCCTTCCCTTTGGTTTGGAAGCCTTCAATGTAAATTTCATTTAGACTTGTGTTGATTCACCCTTTTGAGTTAACCTGCCTGGCATTTGCACATAATCTCATTTGCAGAAAAATTATAGAGGGAAAAGAGGAAGTAGAATATTAAACAAAAACAGCCACAAACACATTCATGCCTTTCCAGGAAGTGATCAAATATAGGGCTTGATTTTTTTTGTGTTTTTTTTTTGTGGTTTTTTTTTGTGTTTTTTTGTTTTTTGTTTCTTTTGTTTTGTTGTGTGTGTGTTTTTTATATATATATATATTTATATAAGGGTACATCAACTCATTTAAAAAACAGAAGCAACACTCTCTCCCCCATTTTCAGGCCCTCGATCTTCTCTTCTTAGCACACTGTAGTGGTCACTGTCAAGTGACTAGCACACTTCTGGGTCTGGAGTGTATTCTGACGAGCAGTGAATTAAATGTTAAGACAGTTAGACCCACCCCCAGCCCTCCTCAGAGTTTACACATCATGCCGCTATTAGAAGGGTAGAGGTGGGAAATGAGGTGGGACAAGGAAGAGATTCAGGGCTCTGATTGACAGGGCCCTCCTACGAACCAGTGTTCTTCTCATCTTTTTTTTTCCTCCCAAATGGCAATGCTGGCATTCGTTGCACTGCTCTCTGAAGGCCCACGTGGCCTTGCTGATCCTAGGCAGAACCCAAGAGAGGATCCGGTGCTCCTTGTCCCATCGGATAGATTTGTCCAAGCACCCCAAGGAAATGTTAAAAGCAAAACAAAATCAAGGAAAGAAAATAAAACCCATTCTAAAACTAAACTAATGAAGCAAAAAAGGGTTTTCTATCTATACATAAGTCTCTTCTTTAAAAAAATGTAAATTTACAAATTCCAATGACATATAAAACAAAGTCAAAAAATGTAATGGTAAGAGACATGGTAAAACAGGAAGACACTGATGCTACAAAGAAATTGCCAAAAACATATGTACAAGACCCTGTTTTTCCTCGTGTTCTAGAGATTGTAATGCATGTTTTTAACAGCAGCAGTCGAGGATTTAGTTCCAGGCACTGGGCTGCACACTCCGCTCAAGCTCCCAGGAACGGGATGTCCCTTGCTTTTCTGTCACCAAATCACACTGGATATACTGGTCTCCCTTGGCAACAGCGGCAGGATGGCACTGTTTGTGTGGGCCTCGTCTGGATTCTGCTCCCTGCTCGATTTTGTCTGTGGCCGCTGCCCGTTGATGAGTGTCATAGGGATGTTACAATAGGTATGCTGATTTCCTATGGAGGTAAGAGGCAGGGTGCCGGTAGGAGGTACGTCGTACTCATAGCTTCGGTAGTAGTGTTTCTGACGCATTTGTGAATGGTACGTGTTGTGAAAGGTGGAACGGAGGTCTGGATGGGCAGTGGCTAGAGCTGTGGAGGTGGCCGCAGCCATGGAAATGGCCGAGACAGTCTGCAGCTCCCCAAAAGGCCCCTGCTCACTAACATCTAAAGCCTGCTCGTGCGTAATGGGTTCTATCCTCTTAAAAGGCATTTCATACTGTAAACGTTTCCAGAACTTAGAGTTCAACTTGTTGCATTTTGGTCCGTGCCATTTAATAACCGTCAGGAGCTTGATGGTGTGCTTGAGGGCTTCCACCTCCTGGTAGTTCATAATGCCTCGGAGCTCACTGCATTCAATGAGTATCACTTTAATTTCTCCAGTTACGAGCATGTTTCGAAGTCTGGTCTCCAGTTCAAAGATGCTCCAGCCCCTTCTGACTACATAATTTGGGGTCATGACAATAATCAGCCTCTTGCTTTGATCTACACACCTTGCCACATCTTCAATGTATGCTATAAAAGAGAAGAGAGCTTATCAGAATGACTGGATCAAACACCTGCTCCAGAAAGCCCCAGCAGCTTCTCTTTCACACATTACATGAGAATTGTTGCTTGCTAGGTCATACCTCAGAAGATGAAAACAGCCAATGACCGCACTGAATAGAGTACGGACTTTGCTTTTCTCAGCATTAGAAATACTTTTCCTAGGTACAAATCTCCCATTTGTTTTTTCAAATGTCAAGACTCATAAAAGGAGGTGCTTTACAGAATAGTGGAACTAGCTTCTCAGGGGCATCAGAAATTAAATTTCATATGAACACATAATGACATTTCTTTCTTGAGACACTGATACTATATTTGATGTAGAGAACCACAAGTTAAAATTCTGCCTAAAAATAATGATGACACACAGACAGACAAAAAGAGTATGCACACTCTCAAATGAAAACATTAACTTACTTCCAGTTGGGATTAAATCTCTATCTGGTATGAACAACTTATATCCATAATGTTTTTCAAGCATGTCAGGTAGGATTTCAAGAGCAAAGCGTTCTTCTTCCCCAGTCTCTTGATTCCACTGGTCAGGATCCACTTTGGTGTATGATAAGTATGCATCATAATCTTTATTGTCTGTCAAAAAGATTACAGAGTAAAGTTGAAGTCACTGCTCTCCAAAGAAAACATTAGGACATGAAAACATTAAACTCTTAAAAAACATCTCTAAATGCCCTACTTTGGGGAGACCAAAGAAAGAAGCTTCTACTAATTTTCAATAAGAATTCAATGATGTCAAATATTCTGGAATTCATTTGGAGGTATTTTTATTTGTTGGTTTTGTTGTTGTAAAGACAGTAGTAAGAAAATGAACAAAAAGGGACGCCTGGGTGGCTCAGTTGGTTGGACGACTGCCTTCGGCTCAGGTCATGATCCTGGGAGTCCCGGGATCGAGTCCCGCATCAGGCTCCCAGCTCCATGGGAAGTCTGCTTCTCTCTCTGACCTTCTCCTCGCTCATGCTCTCTCTCACTGTCTCTCTCTCAAAATAAATAAATAAAATCTTAAAAAAAAAAGAAAATGAACAAAAAGAGCAATGGAATGTTAACTTTTAACATTTTTGATGTATAGGTCATGGAGAATCTTGACTGCTTATAAAAGGCACTTGGTTTAGGACACCTGGGTGGCTCAGTTGGTTGGACGACTGCCTTAGGCTCAGGTCATGATCCCGGAGTCCCGGGATCAAGTCCCGCATCAGGCTCCCAGCTCCACGGGGAGTCTGCTTCTCTCTCTGACCTTCTCCTTGCTCATGCTCTCTCTCACATGAATAAATAAAATCTTTAAAAAAAAAGGCACTTGGTTCGATAGTATGCTCTTACTCTAAGTAACTGTACATTCAACTAATCCTGTCCTTGGCCATTTTACTTTGTTGAAAAAAAAAAAAAAAAGAAAGTGCACCTGGCTTGACCACAGGGGAATGGTATTTTGATTGTGGGCTCTGTACTGATTTTTTAAATTTCTCTTTTATTGTGTTATGTTAGTCACCATAAAGTACATCATTAGTTTTTGATGCAGTGTTCCAAGATTCACTGTTTATGTACAATAACCAGTGCTCCATGCAATACGTGCCCTCCTTAATACCCATCACCAGACTCTGCTGGGGAGAAAATAAAATCAAGCGTGGAATAATTACTTATCTACTGGGAACCAGTTCTTGGATTTTGGGACTTAGAATATTATTCCACTGAATTATATTAGAAAACCATATTGTTTTGTTGATCTTCATTTATCTCACATGTAAAATACTGCCAATATTTTTTATCATGTTTATCAGTTTGACCATAAGAATAAAACATTACAAAATAAATGAATGAAACTTTGTTCTAAAATCTGTTTCTGGGGTGCTTGGGTGGTTCAGTGGGTTAAAGCCTCTGCCTTCGGCTCGGGTCATGATCCCAGGGTCCTGGGATCGAGCCCCACGTAGGGCTCTCTGCTCGGCAAAGAACCTGCTTCCTCCTCGCTCTCTGCCTGCCTCTCTGTGTACTAGTGATCTCTGTCTGTCAAATAAATAAATAAAGTTTTTAAAAAAATAAAATAAAATCTATTTCTTTCCTTCTTCTTTCCCCCTTTTACATGGAAATTCTTCAAATATTTGATGATTGCTATCATGCATTATCTTGACCTTAATTTTTTTTAACATTAAGCATCCCAAATTTCCTATTTGTGTTTCTAATGCAAATAAGTCATGTATCTTCTGGATAGTCTCTCATTCATCCATTGCCTTTTCAGAATGTGATATCAGGATTCATAATTCACCTCAAATCTAAATGCTACCAATATACAGAGTTTACCAAATATCAATCTTTAGCTCTCTTTTCTACTTCCCGGATGATTGTCGGTGTATTACTGAATTATCAGATCAAGTTGAATTGAAACATCCCTAAATTTCAGAACAAAATGAGCTTTGTATTTGGCACAGAACATTTAAAACTTTGGAGTTATAAAACATCAGAAATAGAGGGATGTCCTTAATTGTTGCTCTGGGTGGCTTTGGGGCACTCCCTTTGACCTGGGGACACTAGAGTTCACTATCAGAGATCCATATAGGTGTGTTCATTTTAGTAGTCTGATAGTTCCCAGCCCTCTACAAGTTATTCTATAGTTAAAACTTGTTAGGGCAAACTCAGAAAACTGTTAACTCTATCTGAAGTTAACATAGGTATACAATAAACTAACAACTAAAAAAAAAAAAGAAAACAAAAAAAAAAGAATTCAAACTCAGATCTAAAAAAAAGAAAGAAAGACACTAACAACTCTGCTATAGGCTGTCTGAAAGAAAACCTTTAGGTATAGTAGATTTTTTTAAAAAAGATTTTATTTATTTATCTGACAGACAGAGATGACAGGCAGAGAGGCAGGCGGTGGGGGGGGGGAGGGGAAGCAGGCTCCCTGCTGAGCAGAGAGCCTGATTTGGGGCTCCATCCCAGGACCCTGAGATCATGACCTGAGCCGAAGGCAGAAGCTTTAACCCACTGAGCCACCCATACGCCCCAGTAGATTTTTTTTTAAAACAGGTTTCAGATTAAAAAAAAAAAAAGTTTAGAAAAATAGGAATCATCCCAAACATGCTATACTCTGATATTTGCTATATTCCTTATTCTTCAACCAGGAAATAGCTTTTTATAGATAAAAAGCTATTTTATTTTATAAATAAAATTCAATTTTCATCAAAAACGATAATTGCATTTGCTACAGCAGGTCATGCACATATGCCGGCAGTCTATAGTGGTACATTTTGTTGATGTAAACACTTTAGTTGAATAAGAAATCATAGAAAATAGTACATAATAAAGCTAGGATGTAAGACCAGTTAATATTTAATTAAAGTGTCCATTCATTAGATATTCCCACATGCCATATCTGAGATATAAGACTTCCTTTACAATACCCATCAGTAGCTACCAGTCTAGTAGGAGATGTACACAAGCCAACAGTTTATTTCTAGGGGACAAACATGTTGCTAAGACTATTATAGGGGTCATGGACCAAAGGGAGGACTCCTTAAAACAGAGTGGATTATAGAATGATTTCATGCATATACTATTTTCTTTCTTGGAAGTTGTTTTCTCCCAGTTTGCTACATAGTACTATAACATGTTGAAGTTTGCCCAGATCTGGGAAGTATAATAACCAAATCCTCATTCTTAGTCCTTTGTCTTCTCTAAGCTTAAAATATTTGAAAAGCAGATCAATATGAACACCAATAAGAACAGAGCACATATGACTCAGAAGAGATGCAAACAACTGACCTACTGATACTGGTAAGTTTCAGCCTGATATCACCATTGCTTACATGACACTGTCTGTTCCTCTGCCTCTTCCATGGATGTCTCTCTTCCAACTCAAATGCTTTATTTCTCAAGATGTTTTCTGTGCCTGCTTCATTTTTCTCTCACCCCCCTTTCCCTTAAAAATCTCTTCTCCCATGACATTAATAATCACTTCTACGTAGCTAACTCCCTGATTTAGATGTGCAGTCCTATCTTCCTTCTCATGAACTACCAACCATATCCCTCTTTTACCTGTAACCTGGGCCCCTTAATTTGGATGCTCAGCATGCACCTCATATTCAACATTCTCACAACATAACAAGCTTTCCATCTCAAGCTCTGTTCTTCACCTTTTATTCCACTTTAATAGCATTATAATCTCACTTCTTTAGTCTCCAAATGTCAAATATATGTTCCACTTATCCTTTTTAATTACTGATAATCTCACAGGCATTCACTGGTAAAAGTCCTTTGGATTCTACTTCCATCCTGGGTCAGGCCCTACTCCTTTCTTAGCTGTTATAAGTCTGTTTTAGTAGGTCTTCCTCTCTGTTTCTTTCCGCTTCTGGCCCATTCCACATGGAGTTGTAAAATTTATCTTTCCAAATCTCACCACTGATTATATTTATGGTATCCTGGAAAATAATGATGTTTACTCATTGTCAAAAAGCCTGCAGGTAGATCTGTTTCATTGATTTCTTTTGATTTTGAGTCTGATATCTTTGACTTGGACATAATCTCTTTTCCCATGTATGGTATTATTGTGCTCACATCTTATCTTTTTTATTTGACTACAATATCCTTGACTCAGATATCCCACCAGAGCTTGTAGATGATCAAACAGATTTGTTGATTAAATAAATGGATAATCTTTCATTTGCATATCACATGATTTACATTTTACAGCCAGTGTGGGGATTTTCTCAAGACCTGGGATTATTTTCTAGGAGAAATGGCTTTGGAGATATACACTCCATGCTGCCTGGACTCCTCAAGGAATTACTAGAAGCTATGGGGTCAGTATTTACCAAGTTTCCTTTGGAAGAGTCTTGAACTATAGTTTCTCACTATGAGTCAAGGGAAGACCTTAGAGACCTTATAAACTCCTTTGAAAAAGTGGTTTCAGACTTGAGCATGAATGACAACAATTTGGAGGGATTGCTGAAATATAGATTGCTGGGCCCTACCTCCATAGTGTTCGATTCAATAATTCTAGAGTAAGTTTTTGAATTTGCATTTTTAAAAGATTTATTTCTTTGAGAGAGAGAGAGTGTGTGTGTGTGTGTGTGTGTGTGTGTGTGTGTGTGTGTGTTTACGTACCCGAGCAGGAGAGGCAGAGGGACGGGGAGAGAGATTCTTAAGCAGACTCCGAGTTGAGCACGGAGCCCTACCTAGGCTTAATCTCATGACCCCAAGATCATGACTTGAGCCGAAATCCAGAGTCAGACACTTAACCAACTGCACCACCTATGAGCTCCAACAATTTGCATCTATAGCAAGGTCTCGGGTGAAGCTACTGCTGGTTCAGGGACTACACTTCGAGAAACTCTGCTCTAGGACAGGGTATAGGCATCCCGAGGGCTCAAGGGCATCAAAGAACTGCCTGCAGCTGTGGTTAATTGGCCAGAGAATGACAAAACTAATCACTGCAGTGTCAGATCCATGATAAGTGGTGCTGATACTTACAGGGGATGTACTCTAAACAAGAAAGCTGAAAATCCACACTTTCACCAAAAAGGAAGTAGATTCTTGCCTAGAGTAATGTATACATTAACTATATTAAGCTTAAATTAACCTCAGGAATTGGT